CGCGTATCATGTAACGGATTAGTTCAACCTGCAGCTGATGAAACTGTTACTGTAACGTTAGCTGAGTTTCCAGCTCTGTCTGTTGTCCCTGCCTGCCTGTAGACCCCGTCACTCTGCGCCGGTGTTGACCTCTGAGACGGGAACGTTGAAGTAACAGAGCCTGATCACGTCTGAAGAAAAGCCGCAGCCTGCGTTTCTGTTTGTATTGTATGTATTTCTGTATTAAAGCGGTTGTGTTTCAGATTCCGCTCGCTCACGAGTTCAAGCGAGCACGCGTACGAGCACACGCCTGGTAGCGACCTCAGCACTGCACCGCTAGTGGCCGCCGGAAACTCCATCATGGCCCTTAAACAACAAAATTCAACCGCACACCTCCTTTCTCTCTTTCACTGAACTAATCGCCTCGTTAGCCGAAACATCATAAAATAACGATTTAATGATAATAATTGAATATATTGTAAATAATACCAAAATGCAGAATATTTGCAGTTTCCAGCCACTTAAATGTGAATTTATTTCAAACTGTTTCTGATATTTTATAGAGGAAAAATAATCAATGATGACATGAGTATAGTAAATAAGGTTAAGCAATTTTTTTTTTAGTGCATAGGCAAAAGATAAATCTAGGTCATTGTTGGCTCATAAGGGCATTTTTTAATATCTCATAGACTCTCTTGACATGTGACAGATTTTTCCATTAAGCTCATCTGTTTGTGACATTTTAAATGACAGTCGTCAGCGGGTGGAAACACCGCTTCTGTCCTCCCACCACCTTTTCCAGCGGTCGAATGTTCAGCAGAAGTTTAAAATTAAATGTGGTTGTTTCTAAGTACGCCTACATCCGATGAGGAATAGATCATCAGTCGGCTGCTCGTTGTTAACGTTTACATTTATTCAGCTGACACTCAAAGGGAAACGCAGGGAAATACAATATTAAGATGCATAAAAATAACTTCTAAAACAAAAGCTGAGCAGCTCAATAACAGAAAATAAATCAAGGACAGTTTAGATTGTTTAATCATCATGCTGCCAGGTAGTTCCAGCTTCCAACTTTTCTCTTTTTAGTACGGTTAAAAGTTGAATGTTTTTTATATCAACTTACCTTTACACAATTTAGAAACATGTCCACCGTGACGTGGTGCAGAAATCTTCACCTGAATGCAGGAAATTGTTTATAAAACCGTTTAATGTTTGAAATGTTCATAAAATTCAGCCTTGAAGATTTCATAAAAATAAGGTTAAAGTCTCGTTTTCATAGAGCTGCAACTATTAGTCGAGTAATCGATTAGATGGCAACCACTAAATTAATCTGCAACTCTTCTGATATTGGATTCATCGCTTTTTTAAGAATAAAATGTCTTGATTTCTCTGATTCCAGCTTCTTAGTCGGAATATTTTCTGGTTTCTTTCCTCCTCTGTGACAGAAAACTTAATTATTTCAGAGTTGTTCACATTCAGTGTTTCCTCTATATGCAAATATTCTGGCAGTAAATGTACGGTGTCTGTTACAGCGCGTTAGCTTCTCAAGACCAAGAAAAGTTCCCACCTGCTTGAAAAGTGAAGCCGGTTAAGCGCTGAGTTAGCGAACATCTCCCCTTCAGACTGCGCAGCTGAGCGCGGACTGATTAAATTATTTTTCAGTTTTCAGTCTGAAAAAGTGGTTTTGGAAAAGAGAAGGACGGAGGTGACCGGAGGAGCTGAGGTTAGCAAAGCTAATCAGTGATGCAAACTCGTCCTTTAAAGCTGATGAGGAGACGTTTCTGTTTGGATTTTAATGTGCAAATAAACTGCAGCTCAGAAGGGAGGAGGTTTCTCATGTTTTTTATATTAATGTCTACAGAGAAATGTCAGCTGTGAAATGAAGACACAAATATGAACAGTCGTGTCTATAATGATTCTGAGGTCATATTAACAGGGTTTCAGGGGGTGATGCCCAAAACATGCAGTGCCGTCACTGTAAAATCACTGTGGAGCATCAGAACCAACCAGATCACTTTCTCCAGATCTAAAGCTTGGAGTTCCTCCAGCAGGCTGATCTGTGGCTGTTGGTTATTTATTATCTGCTTCAGCTTTTCCAAATATTTGTTCAGAGATATGGTGGAAATAACGGCCCAATATGATGTGAAATTACAGATTTGTCATTGGAAAACGTAACATTTTCTTGGGGGAGGAGCCCCAAACCCCCCCCGACCAACACCAAAACATTCATCTAAAGCTCACATTAAACTGGGAAAACACTGCAGTTTGAAGCTATTCTGAGGAGCATCGCTGGCTCATGGACACAAGAGCGATGCTGCTGAGACATGTTGTGTTGGGCTTTTATATTCAGACAAACCTCCGCTGCTCCAACTCCATCCTAGGAGGAAACACTGAAGTTTATTTGTTTTGTGAAGTGTGACTGTTCATTAATCCGGCCCCTGCTGCTGAAAAAAATCAACTGTTATATGTTCATATTGTGAATATACTGTATACTAAACCCAAGTACACCTGTACATAATACTTATGTACTCCTGCATCCTTTGCACCCACCGTTTGTTTGTTGTTAATCGATAATGAAAGCATTGTTACTGTCGCTGCCCTGTCGTCTCGTGAGCGAAGTGTCTCGTCGTCTCGCTGAAGAATAAAAGACTTGAAAACACAGATGTGTTTTGCATAGTGTGGTTTTTATTCTGTTGTATTTATTTGCAGTGTTGGGGAGGGTTTCACTCAGCTGTTCACATAAAAATAGCAGCTCTGTGTTTGTCCTCTTGCTCGTGTGTGGGAGAGCAGGATCTGTTTTTCCCTCCGTCTGTCTCTTTTTCTTGGCAACGCCTCTCCATCCATAAACTAAAGCTGTTCGTGTGTGTGTGTGTGTGTGTTGGACGGAGAGGCAGCAGCTGTTTTTTAGCCAACCTCGTGACCGCTCTCAGCCCCCGTCTCCGGACATCTATTTTCTCCCGGTCTGTTCTATAATAACTCGCCGGCTGAATCCCCACCGCTGCCGTTTTCTCCTCCCATGGGCTGAAGCCGAACTCTCTCTCGCTCTCTCGCTCTCTCTGGAGCTGCTGGTCAACTCATCAACACAGTTTTCCACACTGTCTCCAGTTCATTTTCCAGCTGAGTGTTAGTCTTGGCGGCGGCGGCGGTGTGGTGTGAAGCTGGAGGAGGCGGGTTCAAGCCCTCCACCCCCTCTCTGCTAACTAGCTGCTCACTGCTGACCCCGACCTTTGACCTCCGGGAGCAGTTTTCACCACAGACGGTACAAAAGAAGCGGACGCAGTTAACGTGACATCACCCAGTTGGCTTGTTCACCGTTTTGGGCATTTTAGTCCACTATACACCTTTTTAGTAGTTTATTTTCCTTCTGTGCGTCTGTAGATTTCTATAAGATATTGGCTGTGTAAATATTGATTTTCACGAAACAATGTGTGGAATTTTACATCTTTGAAGTTATTTCTCATCCTCGAACTCTAAAATCTCCTACAGACCCCAAACCTTAGTTTTCTTCCTGACTATATTCTGAAGGATTTCACTGAGGGGTTTGGTCATTTATCAGTCACAGCCTGGATTAGTGAACATTTTGTTCCAAAAACATGGCGAAAATGAATGTTTTTGTTACTGAGAGATCCTAAATCCCCTCTGTAAAAACATTTGAGGCTGATGTGTCAACAAAATAAAACCATCATTTTGCCTTAAGCTGGTGTTCAGATTTAGCTTCTTGAAATAGATGCAAAATCAGCACATATTTCAATAGATACTGTCTCATTTGCATATTTAAACATAATATTTCAGAAAACCTGCAATAAAAAAAAAATATTGTCTCAATGTGAGTTATAATCCTGGAAAGTTTCATGATGTTTTTTTTTTTTTTTGAAAGGTCAGATTAACTGTTTAATGTTGACGTGTAGTTTTGCAGTTTAGCTTGACTGTTTTATTTTGGTAGTTTGGCTGCCGTGTGAGCGGCTTCCTGTTCTGTTTGCCGTCTCTACAGGTCACTACATAGTGGACTATATAGTGAGCGCGCCATCCGAATGAATAGTGATAATTATTATACCCTTTATAGTCCATCAATGTATCCCAGAATGCATTCTGAAAAGTAGTGCACAACCGATGGTCACCAACCAAGCCCTACATACCATCATGCTTTGCACTGATAGAAAAAAACCTGTCCATTATCTGGTTGTCCGACTGGAATGATGTAACTAACGGCGCTGAAATAACGATTGGAGCAGTGTGTGACAGTGTTGTTCACTCACTATATAGTGCTCTGCATACACTCCCTGCATAGGGGGTAGTGAATGAGTGGGGGTTTCGGCCGCAGACTCTATAAACCGCCGGCTGGCGTTGACTCTGGCGCTCTCTGGGTGTGAATATTAACTCCCCCCTCCTTCTCTGAATAAAGCCTCCTTTGAGGAGCTCTGAAAAGGCCTGTGTGTTGGAGGAGGCTCGGTCCGTCGGCCACACTGCTCCACTTATCTCCTCACAAACGGCGCACACTGATCTAATGACGGGCCAGAGTCGGGCCCAGGAGTCCTGGAAGAGGTTCTGGGAGTCTTAATGGTGGATCTGTTGGTCTTCAAGGAGGCTTTAGTGAACTTTAGAGGACGCAGGGTGCCTTACAGGGTCCTTCAGGGGGGTTGGGTTTTTAAAGAAACTTTTATAGGATGCTGCCTTTTTAAATGATCCTTAAGGTGGACTTTTAAAAGGGGTATTTGAGCAGGGCTGGGGCGATTCATCGATCCGTTGATTTGACATAACGTGCGTTGGCGCGTTGCAGTGAAGTGCTGCGCCCGGTGTAAGCAGGGATTCCCTCGCTTTTGACCGTCTGAAGTCTGGGAGGATTTTAGACAGACCTGACAACGTGGAGCTCTCTGGAGATTAAAAATGTGACGATGCAAAATCTTCCCTGAGCGCTCTGTCAAGACGGCGGCGTGTTTCAGGGTTATCAGCAGCGTGTTGCTCACTGAAAAACTGAAATGTACCGATGTGTTGGTTTGACCGTCCTCGTCGTCTCTTTACAGGTCGGAGGTTATGATGTGACCAGCTTCCCCTGCTGCAGGACTACACTTCCCATGGAGCCGTGCGCCGACACGCACACTGTTCTACCATGGAGTCACCAGTCGGGTATGGAAACACACACTCAGAGCGTCTGCAGGATGTTTATTGTGGTCACATGAAAAACATTACAGACACACACGCACACAGAAAATGTAAACAAACGTTATTTTTTGTGGAGGGGCACCGGTGATTACTCCTTTTTAAAGCTTGATTACCCCGCTCCATCCCTCCTGCTCGTCAAGGAGATTAACCTTTGACCCCCCGGGGCTGAAGGCAGAGCTGGCCAATCAGGAGGCTTCCTGGTTTTTAATTGCAGGCTCTGAATGGGTCATTTGAGCTGTCGTCTGGTTTGATTAATAACCACAGAGCAGGAAGAGCGGTGATTACGCCGAGCGTCTGTGTGTGTGTGTGATATCGGTGAAGTAAAGCCTTGCAAACAGAAAGTGTGTGTGTGTGTACAAGGTGATGTCATGCCTCGACAGGTCGACTGCTTGTAGTTTCTGAGGGTTGTTGTGGCGCTTTGAAAGTCAGCTGCGACGTATTTTCTGGTTGAAACCACAGCAGCGTGTCAGAAATCTTCTTTGCTTCCAGAGAGTCCTGGAAAGTCTTTATAATGTCTGGAGTGTTGTGAGTTCCTCAGCCTTGAAAGGTTTGATCTTGCGTCTGTACGATCAGTCGATTAGTTCTTTAACGTGTGACAGTAAACTGAATATCTTTGGGACAAAACAGGACGTTTGAGGACGTCACTGATCTACATTTTATAGACCAGACAACTAATCTAAAATAAAAATAATCATTAGTTGCAGCGTAGAAAGACTGATGTACTTGTTTTATTATTTGATTTGATAGATTCTAACGTGTTGGAAACGTTTTATATTTCTGTATAATCCGTTTACTCTCCTTACTGCTGGACACATGTGGTCATTAAACTTTGATGTTCAGTTCACTAGCACAAAGTTCTTACTCTTAAAAATGGTGAATTGTTTCGGCTCTCCTCCCGAGACCTGCAGACTGGACCCGGGGGGGGTCTAACCAGATCCCCGCACGCAGTCGGCTCTAATGTTTTATAACATGGCGTACTTTTAAAAAGTCTTTATAGATGTTGTTTCTTGGCGTTCCGTTTCCTCATCGTGCCAGGCGCTGTAGGAGTACGTGACTGCATGCTGAAACGAGGTGACTCAAGCGTCTGAGTTTCAGAACTCGCTGACAGACCTTCAAACAGAGCCGGCCAGTCTGCAGCACCAAATCACTCCCATATGTCCCTCGGCAGCCCCCGCCGCCCTGCACGCCTTCCCCCGCCGCCCTGCACGCCTTCCCCCAAACACTCTGCAGCCCGGCTCGGATCAGATCGGCCTGGATGTACGTAGAGGAGTCAACGGCACTGAGATTTTAAATACAAAGAGGTTTAGGCTGTGCATCATGCAGCTTATTCAGGTCTACTTTTCTGCTTGACACTGATGCACAAGTCGTATCAAGTCGTTGTGCTTCCCCTTTCTCCACCTACTGATGTATTTTTAGGCCAGTGGGAATGTTGGGTTTGACCCTTTGGGGTTGCTGTAGCTGGTCTGTGTGGAGTGCAGAAGCAGCAGATCAAGACAGTGAAGTTTGCAGCTGTTCTTTTTATTTCACACAGAGCTCAGGAAACATGTGTGTCACTCAGGATGTTCAGCATGTGAAGCAAAATGTGTAGTTTAGGATAAGATTGTATTTTCGCGATCGCGATGCTAATGTCCGTTAGCACGTTAATGGAGATTCTCATTATATGTTAGCATTGAGCTAACCGTCAAAGCGCTATTTTTTATTATTATGTATCGATATGATGGGCTGGAATATCAATACAGTATTGTGGAAAAATGTACAACTATTTATTTCCGTATTGATTTATTGTCACACCCCTACAACAGATTATTTCATCCATTCACAGAGTAATTGGTTTAAAAATACTTTCGCTTGGCGGCCCCGGAATCTCAACCATCTGTGTAAAGCGTGATACTCCTGCGCCGGGTCTACGTGCGTAGCCGTGCGTTTAGACTTGTGCGTTGGCGTCTCTGTCGTTCTGCAATTACACCGCCAAACGCTACAGCTTCCTTGTGTTGACTTTTGCTGGCCGAGCAGGCTGACTTCAGGTTTAGCCCTCATGGGAGTAAAATTGTATATGTGCTGGGCAATAAAACAATGATAATTATATTAATATTTCAATAATGTTCAATATATCGTCAATAAATAATATGAATAAAAAAAACTAATAAATATTTGGTTTAATTCATTTGAATCCCAAACAAATTAGCACTTTTTCTATTAAAATATTTATTTTGTTGAGGAAAAGGGACTGAAAAAAGATTTACTTATCATATTTGTTGAAAATGATTTTATCATATTAGTTTTAAACGTTCTCCCTCAGACTTGTGAAGTGATCCACTGTTTGGCATCGAGTGTTTGTCCCATTCTGGCCATAAAGAAAAGTTGAACCACATAATCAACCTTCAGGTTTCTTCAGTTTTCACTCAAAAAATGTGACATCCTGATATTTATCGAATGATATGAAATGTTTTTATAGTGATAACATTTCTGTGCGGCTAGTGTAGCCTTTTCAAATGTTATCGATATTGATGCACCGTGTTACAGATGCAGTGGCAGTGCTTCTCTTAAATCACACTTTACTCAGATCGCTGTACCGCTCCAACCCAAACTCACGGACTAACCATTCGGGGGAACAATAACAACAAACGTGTGTTTCTACATTTACAGCTCAGAACTGAGCCTTAGCTTTGCTAGCCTTCATCTCCGCTATCAGTCACGATTTACGTTAAACGGTAGCTTGTTTGGAGCCCGCTCCGTGGTCCTTCTGCTCAGACGCTGAAACCGTGATTCTGTTGTGGTCGGCCGGTTCAGTTTTACAGCAGACACTCTGTACGGAGCTGCTGCTGTTTTATTCGAGCTTGAAATGATCCCAGACTTTGGACGCTTCCCGTCTTTCTCTCTCTTCCTCCGCTCTGTTATGTTTGCTGGATGTAGCAGACAGTGGCAGCAGTTTTAGTCCCCCTGTGAAGTGATTAATATGTAGAAATGTAGGAGTGTTTTGGTGTTGATGTTATCTTCGCCGGCGCTCCCCCAGCTGTCGGCGGTGTTAATCAGAAACTCTCCAGATGGGCTGTAAATTCTTCAGACACTCCTCTGACGGCTTTATGAGTCAAGGCGGCGAGCTTTCAGTCACGGCTTCACTCTTTGCAGTTGTATCAGGTTTGAAAAAAAACATAGTGGAAATTGTCTGAGCAGGTGGATCCATAGCTGAATTCAGCTTCTGAGCAGCTGTGAAGTGAGAAAGGTCCGACTTTAAAGATACATTTAAGGTTTGTTGTTTGGTCTATCAGATGTCAGAAAACTATGAAAAATGTCCATCAGTGTTTCCTAAAGTCCAAGATGACATCCTCAAAGTTTTGTTTTGTCCACAACCCAAAATAGATTCAGTTAACTGTCACAGAGGAGAAAAGAAACCAGAAAAGATTCACATGTAAGAAGCTGGAATCAAAGAATGTGGATGTTTGTTTTGTTTTGTTTTTTGGAAAAATGACTCTGAACGATGAATCAATTATGAAAACATCAAAAAACTAATAGATTAATCAACTAATCGTTGCAGCTCTAATCATCTAGTCCAAAAATAATGTAAGTAAATAATTTTGACCTTTTCTCTGATGTGACGCAAACTGTCATCGAGACGGTCGGCGGACGTTTTGAACATTTTACCTTTTTGAAACTGAAGCCTGGAAACTAAACAGATTTCAGAGCCACAGTAAAGTTTGTCTTTCGCCTCGCCTTTTATGATTTCCTCCCTTTTATTTTTTCTTCTTCTCCTTTTTCCCCTCATCCGTAACTTTCTATTTCTGAACGTGCGCCTGTGGACCACCAGTGTCGTCCGCGCTCGGCTCTGCGGCCTGGCTGTAGTTTCAGAGGTGACACGGTGGATGAAACCATCCGGCCTCCCTGCGCTGAGTCCAGTCTCTGACCGGACCACCCACCCGCCAGAACACACCGGGCCAGTGTTCTGTCTGCTGCAGTTGTGTTTTAGTTTCCACTCCTTCATACTGGGATCAGACCAGTGCAGACTGCTTGGCTCTGCGGACGCCGGTGACCTCAGACTTGGCGTGATGGATAGATAGATAGATGACAGCTGGTTAAAAATGACCGACAGCAGATGAGGGTGGGAACTTGACGAGCTCAGTGTGTGGAGGGCGGGGCGTCAACGGTAAGCTTCCTTCAGATTGTAGCCGCTGCTTCGGCGAGGACGCTGTGAGAGCTGTGACTTCCTGCAGCGTGTAGCAGGAGGGGGGTGCGTTTGTTTTCCATTACCTGGTCTCCACATTCCAGCAGCGGTTGGAGGAGCGGGGAGGGCGAGGCTCACTGCAACTTTAGGGCAGCAGATTGTAAACACGAGGCTGAAACGACAACTTGATTAGTCGGTTAAGAGAAGATTAATCACAAACTATTTGTTATAAAGGGTTAATTGTTTATTATTAAGCATCAGTTAGAGATGTTTAAATTTTCTGGTTCCTGCGTCTCCAAAGAAAGGAGTCGCCACTTCTCTCAGCGTTACGTCTGCTTTTCTATAACCGATTAATCGTTCAGGATATTTCTCTGTTTCAGCTTCATGGAAAACTGAATATTTTTGGGGGTTTGGGGCAGTTGTTGTTGATTGTTAATCAATTAATTAATCAACAACACAGTATATAGATTAAAGCAAGATGACGTAGGATTTGGTGTTTTAGTGTAATTCAGCGCTGTTGCAAATGACTACACGTGCATTTGTTAGGTTTACGTTACGATCAAAAAACAAGTCTCCAAGAACAAAATTGTCTCTGTTCCTCTAAACGGGACCATAATTTACTAAATGAACATCATGCTGTGTTGAAGAAGACTTGAAACTGAGACCATAAACTCATCAGGAAAGTGTTTACTGTGGTAAATAAGTTTTTGATTTTACATATTTCAGCGTGAGCCATGATGTTGTTGCCAAGAAGTAACTTTATTTTGAGAGATGTGATTGGACACTGGCTCCTCCCCCAGAGGAT